ATTGTGTTAGGTAGGTAATTTAAACACAGTAAAGAATTCTTCAGCATGTTAGGTAGGTAATTTAAACACAGTAAAGAATTCTTCAGCATGTTATTACAGATTTTAGCAATTAAGTTGAGTGCATTAATCAGGCAAAGAAGAAACACACATTCCAGTCTCAGGGTACAGTAATAGCTGTCCACGAGGAAGGAAGGGGGGACTGTAACCTTGAGGTTGCATGGCCACTAGGTGTCCCAGTGCTGCTGAGAATGAAGTGTACAGCAGAACCAATGGTAGATTGGAAAAGTGGCTCAGGCTCATTCAGGGACAACTGAGCCTGTTCATATCACATTTAAACTTCCAAAGAAGGAAAGATTTGATTGGATTCCAGTTGGCATCATCCAGTATGAAACAAACCTGTTGGTTAGAGTTTTACACAAAATACCTCAGGGGATTGACCTCCCTCATGGGTAGCCAGCCTATAAATAATCTTTCAAAGAAAAGTTTTATAGAAATGGGTGGTACAAATGGTTTGCAATTGGCAGTTTGAAGTGTAACACATGGAGTTTCCATGAGTCAGGGGCCAACTTGATGGCAACTAACAGAAACAACAAAGGCAACATTACCATAAAAATTATGAAATATACATACCAAAAATCTTTCAAACCCTTCTAACTGCATAATCACCAAATACTTCATCTTTGTGAACTTTGTTACATCACATGTAAAATAAATACTAGGCTGTTGTAAGACTTCAGGTATGTAAAGGGTCTACGAAAATCTCTGGCATGTAATAGGCACTCAATAATTGATAGTTGTGGACAAAGTTGCTGGTGTCTTCTTTTAACGAGCATTCTCAAATTAACTGGATAGGACAATCAAAGTAAATATTGTCCACATGTTTCTCAGTACTAAATATGAATCCAGGGAGCTCTGGTGGCATAGTGCCTAAGGCACATGACTGCTAACCAGAAGGTTGGTGGTTCAAACCCACCAGCCACTCCTTGGAAGGAAGATTTGGCAATCTACTTCTGTAGTGATACTGCCTCCGAAACCCAAGGAGGGGTCACTATGAGTCGGAGACGACGCGTCAGCACATAACAACAACAACAACAACAAATATGAATCCACTAAACTCAATGCTAGCCATGCCCAGATCTCTTTAGTGAGGAAAGTACATAAAAGAGGTTCCTCTAGTGCAATTTTTTAAAGTTTTGTGTTACGTAAATGAAATAAAGCCAACTCAATACAACCTAGGTTTTCAAGTGTAAACTCAAATAATTTGAATCCATGACCTCTGCTCTTTCCACTATAGCATACCACAACTAAAGTGCAGAAGAATCAAGATATCAGTAAATTTTATACTCTTGATAGGTCCTCATTTTAGCTCTTAGGAATATTTTCACTGTCCCAGAATCTTGAAACTTGATCCTTTTCCTCCAATTTACATTCTTTTTTAGAAAGCAAACACATGGATCAATTAAAAGAAAAGGCACTATTTAAATATAGAATGTAGCCATAAAAACAAAAAAAAACCAACCTCACTGCTGTCGAGTTGGACCTTCCTTGGGTTTCTGAGGTGGTATCACTACAGAAGTAGATTGCTCAATCTTCCTTCTGAGGAGTGGCTGGTGGGTTTGAACCACCAGCCTTCTGGTTAGCAGGCAAATGCCTTAGGCACTATGCCACCAGAGT